TCTTTCTCATAGGTTTTCCTTCTGTTTTAGTTTGGGCTCATCCATAATTGCCTCAAATACTAGAACTGCTCATAATACTAGAAAGTTAAAATGAAGCTTGTACTACGGTTTTGGTTAAAACAGACTCCTTTGCCTCTACAATAAATGTTAACCTTTACAACTACTGAAAGGTATCAAATGCTGGCTCCACTACTCATTGGCTTGCTTCACTCTCCTCATCCTGGAAAATGGAGACATCAGTACCCATCTCACAGGGCTACTGTGAGGATTAAGTGCAGCTACTGTCTATGGAGACGCTAGTTCCCTTACTGATGCTGCAAGTGCAAGGCAGGTATCAAAAGGGCCACTACTTCTTTGGAGTCATGAACAAGGGGCTTGGAACCACCAGTGGCTTAATCAGAATACTTTCCCGCTCACTGACCTTCTGTGGTTCTTCACAGAACAAGTTTGCAAGGAGTCCAATATCCTCTATAATCTAAACTCACCCCACCTATCCAGTCTTACTATACAACGCATTCCTTATACAGTCTCACAAATAGGAGAAGCAAATTTTCATCTTGGTATCTGTTTCATCCTAAGTTCCTCCTTAGAACTCAAGCTCTTACACTCCTGGATATTCTATTCCACATTTATAACTGCCTTCTTAGAACTCCTGTAACATTTCAGTTTTTGGTACTTAAACGAAATATCTGCTATGGTAAAAGCACTATGGGGAATCCGAACATAAATCAAATGTAGACTTTAACCTTGAGGGTAGAAGAGAGGTCTACTTGAATAATTACAATACAAAGTAGAAGGTAGTGTCATGATGGATACACAATAATAAATACATGAATTTAAATAAAGGATTCTTTTTCGCAGCAGAAGAGGAGCTTGGTTAGAAACAGATGGAAAGGAGGCTTTATAAGCAGAAGAAAAAGTAAAAGCAGCGCAGAGAAGGAGAATTCCAGGCTATGTAGAATGTGTTAAGGACAGTACGTAATTTAATAGAGAATTTGGGATTTGCTGAAGGAAAACACTAAGAAAAGTGGGTTGAGAGGATCCATCAGTGTTTCTCAGAAAGTGTTCTATGGCCACTGAAGATCCTGGCATTATTTCAGGGAGGTAAATGGCCCACAGGTGGTTTCAGAAGAAAAACTGGTGATACTATTTTATTTTTACATTGTACTGGAAAAATCCTATGTGCCTCCTCAGATTCTCTTGGCTTCATCTGTCTCCCGACTCTCAGCCATCATCCTTAGAGACAACTCCCTGTGGGCTGATATGATTCCACCTGTAGTCTCTAGCTCTTTCTACCACTCAAGATTTAGATGAATGCAATACAGCACAGAGTGGGAACTAGCTTCCCCAGAAAATACAAAGGTCTAGATCAATTAAGGGCCAAAAATGGGTTTCAGGAAAGTCTGTGAATGAAATGCAAAAATTTGTTTCTTCTTAACTTTTATTCTTGTTATTTCGAAAATGCCTTGGGAGAGGGGTGGGGTAGGAGGAAAGCAGGCTGTCTCTTGAAAGTAACATTATCAAAGAACTGTTTTACTCCAACAAGTGTAGGTATACACCTGTATAGGGTATGGTGCTGTATGACTGTCATCATTATCAATGTCATGCCTTTCGGATATCCTGCCTATTAAGACTAAACGGAGAGCTATCTCTATTCAGGACTGGCTCAAGTTGGAAAGTATTATATAAATGGGGAAAAAAAGGACACGTTTTATGTATTCTTTGTTTTTAGATTCCCTGCTAAAAGCAACGGGCACGCGTGATTGGAGACACCTTGGCAAAGTCATTCAACATTGACACAGGCAAGCTGGTCTACAGTTTAAGGCAGAGGAAGAAAGTTGAAGCAGTGTCTCTATCAAATCATGTCACCTTCTCCAAAATCACTGCTATTTATTCCAAAATTTTGAAGCAAAGTTTGAGAAAACTGGCATCACACCATTTACCTTCAGCTTGGACCTGGATGTAAATCTTGATGTACACAGTATAGCCAGATACTGGCTTGTAACCATTATATAAGCAGACTGACACCATCAAGGAAACAGTTAATCTTCTGTCAGGTCTCTTTCTACAAAATGATGCCAATTTCTCTGTTTTTTTACTGTGGAGAAGTATTTTGTGTACGGATGAAACACCTAAAAAAAGTTTATTTGGAGTCTGCTTCTTTGAAGAAGAAAAAAGCTTCTCACTTTGTTAGGACTCACTGATTTCTACACCTGCATGTGCTCGTACCAAAGCCTCTGCCTATAACCCTGAAGACAGTCTGTCTATCGTCACAAAGGTCATAATTCATCACCACTTAGGTCCCCAACCATTGCCTAGGCAAGAGCTTTTTCTTTCATTCCTAAGAAATGTGAGCCAAATGTAAAATCCTTCTCTAACACCTGGAAGAGTTCACTGGTTTCTTAGAGAACAAGTATCAAGCACTTGAGTTCTTTATTTCCATTTTCTCCAGGAAATCACCAATAATTTTTTATAAAAATACATGACAGTAAGACAGAGATAATTTTTCTAACAACAGGAATTTTTGTGTGTTTATATACTGTGCCTTCTTTCAGGAAGTAATAAGGTGGGTACAGCTTTCCCTTAAAGAGTTCCAGTTCATAATACACATTATTAGACAGCATTTACCTACACTGAAACTTGGAAGCTTGGTTCTTGCCCTATACTTTCTTAATTTTCTTTCTCACTAAACTCTCTCCCCCACCCTCTTCCTCCTAGTCCGAACAGAACTAACCTTTGATGGATTGAATGGAATACCCAGGTAGGAAGAGCCTCGGAAACCACAGCGATTTAGATTTGATCCTAGAAAATAAAAACATGTACTTATTTAAAATGTACCTTATTTTTGTACAGATTCTAAAGCAGTTCAATTATACAATCTTTCAGAGAGTATTTTGGTACCAAAGCTTTGTCACTGTCTCCATCTTAATGCTAATGTTGAATGCTTACTAGGTGCTTCATGAGAACTTCTTCATTTAATTTCCGAGTAAGTCCAAATCAAAATAATGACTTCCTACCACGTACCTTTAAGTCTACCTCACTGCATACAAAATGCTTTCATACTTTTCCTAAATGAGCATTTTTCATGTAATCAACATACTCAGTCCCTCATTCTACAGAACAGAAAGCAGAAGCCCAGATGTTAAGTGACATGTTCAAGCTAATGGCTGGTTAGCAACACAAAAGAATCTAGAATCCTAATGCCCCATCCAGTGTCTTTTTACTTTAACTCACTGTTTCTTTACAGGGGAGCAAGCTAAAGGTATAACTGCTCTATAGTCACAGAAAATATACGTACCTTGTATTTTAGTATTAGACAGACCTTCATCTGAGTCCAATAACACACTTTGCTTTGAAGTACAAAAGAACACTTTAAGTTAGCACTTCGCCTCCTGCTTATTCAAAGTATATTTACTCATGTGTTTTTCTACCTAAAATTTTTCATTTTTCAAGTTATCAATGGACTAAAATTGGGAACTTAAGAAAGAAAATAGTTACTACATGCATGAAAAGGGAACCCTTGTGCATTATTTGATGGGAATGAAAACTGGCAGCCGTTATGGAAAACACTATGGAAGTTCCTCAAAAAATTAAAAATAGAACTACCATATGATCCAGTAATTTTACTTCTGGGTATATATCCAAAGAAAATGACATCATTATCTCAAAGAGATATATGTACTCCCACGTTCACTGCAGCATTATTCACAATAGCCAAGACAAGGAAACAATCTAAGTGTCCAACAATGGATGAATGGATAGAGAAAATGTGATATATATATATATACACACACACACACACACATATATAATGTCATATATATGTCACACACATATACATACACATAAACACAGGGGAATATCAGTCAGCCATCAAAAAGAAGGAAGTCCTGCCTTTCACAACAATGTGGATGAGCCCTGAGCATTATACTATGTGAAATAAGCCAAAGACATATAGTCTAAGTTCTTACTTATAAGTGCAATCTAAAAAAGCTGAACTCATAGAAATAGAGAGTAGAATAGTGGTTATCTGGGATGGCACGGAGCAGGGTGGGAAGATGCTGGCCAAATGGTACAAACTTTTAAACACAGGATGAGTAAGTTCTGGGGATCTAATATATGTACAGCATGGTGCTTATAGTTAACAATATTGTATTGTATACTTAGAAGTTTTTAAGGCAGTAGACCTTAAATGTTATTCCCCCCCCTTACATATACACACACAAAGAGGAAATTATGTGAGGGGAATGCGAGTTTTAACTATTCTTATTGTGGTAAGCAGTTTACAATATATACATGTATCAAATAACCATGCTGTACACCTTAAACTTACATATGCTACATGTCAATAATATCTCAAAAAAGCTGGAAAAAAATTTAAAAATATAAATGAAAAAAGTTATACCCACAGTAAGAAAATAATTATGGTTTTGAGAACTATTATAAAATCAGCATGATAGATACAGAAGGTAGGAATGTCGTACCAACAGACCGTACACGCTATTATAAAAATCAAGTTGCTTTAAAAATAGGCTCCGATGTGAGGAGCTAACTTCAAATTTCTTATGACTGGTCCCTGATTAATAACTGGTATTCACTCTTATTTTTCTCCAAATAGGTACTGTATGCTACTCAGCTTTATATCCCCTGAAATACTTAAAGTAGCAGCTTATATATTCATTCTCTGAGTAATTTAGGAAACTTTACTCCTAGATTTAAAACTCTCCACCAAGCATCTTCACCCTATTGACAGGAAAAAAATTTTTTAAAAGAATACTATCTAATAGTGATAATGATTTTGATGAACATGGTTCTCTTACCTTTGCTCAATACTCTTAAATTGGTAAGTTATTTAAGACTTGCCAATGTATAATGAGTTATGAAAAGGCTCACACTCTTTGACTTGGTAATGATGCACCTGAAAATCTACTCCAGGACCTTCAAGTATGAGATGGACATATGCACAAAAACACTCGCTATAGTATTATGAAAATAAAAATTGTGAACTGACACTAAAGTCCACCAGGTTACATATAATACACTATAGCTATTCAAAGGAACATGATATTGCTATTAAAAGTAATCAATAGGGAAAACTATGTAGTAATATACAGAAATGTATTTGATCAAGTTAGGCGAAAAAGTAGGATACAAAATATATGTGCATTATGTTTATAATCAAGCAAAGTGTGCTTATCATCAAAGCCTGGAAAGGAATAAATAAAATAATATTGTGTGCGATGACACAAATAAAGGTGACTTTTGTTCTCGGAATTAGTCATCGTTGTCATCACAAATTACCACAAACTTAGTTAAAATAACACCCCATTTATTATCTCACAGTTCTGTAAGGTCAGAAGACTAAGGCAGGTCTCACTAGGCTCAAATTAAAGTGTCGGTAGGGTAACACTCCTTACTGGAGGCCTCGGGAACAATCTGCCTCCAAGTTCATTCAGGTTGTCTGGCAGAATCAGGTTCCTTGTAGTTGGGGACTAAGGTCTCCATTCCTTTGCTAGTTCTTGGCTGGGGGAACCCCTTAGCGCTTAGAGGTCGCGCTTGCCGTTTTTTGCATCTGGGCCCTTGTATCTCAGAATCAGCAATGGTGCTCATATCCTTCTCATGCTTAGACTATCTCCGGCTTCCCCTTCTGCAGCATCTCTCTTTTGCCCTTTTTCACTGCATTTCTGACTAACTCTTCTGCCTTCTTCTCTATTACGATTACACTGGGTCTGTATATATAACACCCATACATAATTTCCACATTTTAAGGCCAGCTAATTAGTACCTTAACTTCATCTGCAAAATATGTAGTAACTAGATTAGTTTTTGATTGAATAACCAGGTAACAGGAACTCTGGTGGGGGTAAGGGGGACATCTTTAAAATTCTGCCTAATACCCCCTTCCATATTCCAAACTGGATGTAATATTGTACTTGTAAAATCTAAAAATACATTATCCCTTCCTTACCAAGCCATGGATGCCTTTATCCTTTTATAGTTGCTTGTTTCAATCTCTCTTTAATTGGGGAGGGGTAATGTCAAGTAATATTTTCCTAGGTTCTCTATTCCATCTGATGCCTAAAATGTTTTCCTATTGTGACTTAAATTTTTGAAATCAGTTTCTTTTTTCCTTAGGATTGCCTTTTTTATAGCTTTTTATATAGCCTTTCAAGCTACTGACTTGCTGATGGTTCTCTACGAAAATCAAATCCTATTTCTACTTTTGATGGAAGAAAGCTCTGATTCCATGTTTTAGGTCTGAGTTTATACTTCCCTTAGGAAGCTTTTCTGGAGCCTCTACTAAGTTAAAGAATTCTGCCAGGTGTTTTATACAGAAGCTAATATGTAGTAAGGGTTTGATAGATATGTTTCTGAACGAAGTTATTTCCTTAGAAATAAATGAATGAATGATATTTCTATTTGCTCATTTCTATGTTTTTATATTACTTAAACTACTAACTTTTCTGAAAAGTAGCAAGAATACTGATGCTTAAAAATACCATAAAAGGTTAGGAAACTGCCACATGGACACTTGGAATCAAACTCAAGATTCTATTCTTACTAGCACTGGGTTCCATAGACAAGCAACAACCTCTCTGAGCTGGTTTCCTCCATTTTTGAACTAGGAACGGTAATATATTGCAAGCAATGTCTAGCAGCGTTCTTGTAAAGATTAAAGGTCATGTTTAGATTGTGTTCACCACAGTGACTATGGCTTAAATAAACAGTAATCATTTAAAATCATTTTATCATAAGTGAAATAGGAGGAAATTAACAGCTTCTGTTACAATTTATCAATGAAAGTTTCTTTAAAATAAAAAAAATGCCTTTCCTTCCCTTTTCAAAAAGGAGTACATATTGTCATCTTAAAAAATTCATGAGGTAATCTCTTTCTGGTTTCTGTCAAGATCTGTATGCTATTGTGTGCATTCCTTTATGATTCTGGTAAGCTTACTTATTCATGATAATTATTAAAGTATAAACATGCAATTTATTCCAAATTTACAACTGGATGCATATTCAGGGTAATCTTTGACGGTTATTAAATAGCGCCATCTAGTGTTCCTATTCAGTAGTAACAAGGCAAACAAAGTGGTCTGACTGACCAAAAGAATAAAGTATAGTGGGGAAAAATACAGATGGTTTTGTGTCTTAACCCTGGCCCACATCAAAACCCTCAGAGTAGGGCTTGAACAATCATATATTAGAAAGAAAAACAATCCCTGTCTGATCGAGAACCACTGATTCAATGAATGCATCCATAAAGTCAAACTAGTTTATCTTGTTATATAGTAGTTCAGACACCTGTATATTATAAAAACTCAGGTTACATAAAAAATGAAACACGGCAGATGGAAAGAAAAGGAGAAGCAGCAAAAGTGGGAATATGTACACGAATGTAATATATATACGCATGAGTATGTAGAGTGATGTGTTACTAGAGAATATAATGTGTTTAGCTATCAACTGTAAGGAAAACAATCCCTTTACCTGCATGCCTGCACATGAAAGACAACTGTTAAGCTATAAAGCTGACTCCTGCCTGATGACTGGGTCATATCTCACTTTACAAGTTAGGATTTTACTATTAAACTCATAATAAACACCAACTACATGTCAAGCATCATAAAGACAGTGCATTTAGATATTTCTAAAAAAACAGAGAAAATCGTTATAAGCCCATGGAATGTAAAACTTCAATGAGAGTTTAAAAAGATTTTTATTAGCAGTTAACTTTTACTTTTCATAGGAAGAAAGGTATGTATTTCCCCTCTTTTGAGAGAAAATTTTATTGTGAAAGA